TGTAGAAGTGGAGGGGTTAATGGGCACTTTTCTATTTTTCTGGCCAGCCAAAGATGCCTTCATGCAGAACTGTGCCTGTTTGTCATAGTCTCTCTGTCTCAGTATTTCAAGATGACATCCTCCTACAAGAAGAAAATTCTTTTTTAAAGCTGTAAAGTGTTAACTTTTTGAAATCTTTTCCAGTAGCCTTTCATATATCTTACTTATTTAAACTCACTTTGATGGTATTGGAAACACATTTGCAGGTAAATTACATACATAGTCCTTTTATTGGATATTGATTGTACTGCCTTGCATTCCAAGGCAGACTTAATTCAACAATTCCCTAATTAGTTAAAGTCATAACCTATGTCTTGTATTCATTTACCATTAATTAAACCTTAGCTGTTTATTACACTGCAGTCCAAATCCAATAGCAGACCCATAGAGCCATGGAAAAAAGGGAGTGGGAGGTCAATATTGAAAATATATGGTGCAAAGTCCCACTGATGGCTGCATTGTTCACAATCAATATGGTCAATGCAACACAACTTTCTTAGTTGCTATGTCAGCAAGACAAAAAGTCAATTCTAATGTTATGCCAGTGAGAAAATGGCGATTATTGAAAAAACTGACTCCTGCTGCAAAACAATATTTTTGTTAACTTAAGTCTCCCCTTCCTACTCCCATCCCCCCATATTGAATCTAAAGTAATGGTTTTTAGTTGCCAGCTCTGCTAAGACCACAGTGTCACAAACGATAACTGTAGAAATTTGTGCTTGTTAATAGCTGCTGAACTGTTACCTTAAACTAATACTTTCTAACGAGTTTTAGTTGGCACAAACAACTGTATATTATTGCTTTTTCTATTAAAAGGACCATTGACCATGTAATGTAGGGGGTCTTGATAATTTGCCAGTGCTGTTAAAACCTGCAGTCGTTTAACTCTGGTCATTAGGAAAAATGAAATAGGACTGTCAAGTATATGCTACTAAAACAATTGCACAGCTTGACCTACTAAAAATGGTTTGTGGTGAGGAGGCCCTCTGATTCAGCCCCTTCCAGATCCACCCAGTGCTTAGGGTGGTTTCTGTGAATCTGTGACTTCTTCTGACAACAAGCTTTGTCTGGAATACTAGCCCTTGTTTGTCAGTATCAGTGATTTTCAACCAGAGTGTGTGACAGTGGAGTACCTTGAGATCTTTTCAGGGGTGCCAGGGGGTGTCATGCAGTGTTAGCGCTATTATGTGCGCAAACATAATTCACAATATAAACTCAGAGGGCACGTCCCCAAGAGCTATCGTGTGTGGCAAGTTGTCCTGGGTGGGGTTAGGGGAGGCTGGGTCTGGCAACTGGGCTGGCTCTAGCAGCCTTACCTGGAGGCCTCTCGGAGCTCCAGCAGTGGTGATCCAGGCACACACAGCTTAGCTGGCAGCCAGAGCATGGCTCTGGCCAGCTGGGCTCCAGTTTTGGGTGGCACTCGCTGCTGCAAAGTGTGCCACCTTCTTTTTCTCTGGCATGGATTTTTTTTGACACTGGGATCTTTGAGTGTAAAAAAACAAAACAAAACAAAAGAACCCCGCTGTGCTGCAAATTAGCAGTACATTGAATGTCTGCATGTGTTCCACATGTGGTTTGTTGCGCCACAGACCACATGTGCATGCTTGTGAGGATGCACCCAGAGATTTCAAATAGGAATACAGTGTGTCAGAAGCATTCAGACCTGCTGTGGTCTTGGAGCAATTTGCAACAGAAAAAATGCTCTATTATTTTTCTCTAGCCAAAAAACAAGTAAAAACTAAGCTGACATTTTCTGAGGGGTGCCTTGAATCTAAAAGTGTTGAGAACCACTGGTCTACTTGGTCACTGAGAATGATGCTGGAGGTTGGGACGTTTGTGACTTTGGACCTGAGTAGATGTAGTACTTGTTTTAATTTTCTGGTGAGCAAGGAGGCAGCTCAGGAACTTGACATGCAAGAGGACATGCATCTTTTGTTTCCCTTCCCTTTTCAAATGGAGCAAGGGTCATTTTAAATCTGGATGGTGATAGTTTTGTGCGGGTGATTGAATTCTGCATCTCCAATCCCTATGAATCCTGGGTCAGATCATGCCCTCCTGCTAAAGCCGCAGTATGAATAGATGAGAAAGTGTGTGTGTGTGTTTTGTGGATGTATGTGGATTTTCTGGAAAAGGAAATTTCCATGAGGCATTTGTATAGGGTTTTTTCTTAGTCAAACAAGGTTTGCTCCCAGTGGAAAAATCTGGAGATCCTGACCACAATTCTGGCAAATTTCAGGGAATTCAGGGGAGGTCAGAGTGACCTGGGCACCAACCATGCCACCCTCCCCTTTTTCCATCCCCATGCCACCCCAGATCCATTGATGTCATATTACCACACAATCCTCATGGCAGCAGAAGCCCGTGGGACACTTAGCAAAAAGATAATAATGTCTGAATTCACTTCTAACATTGCAGGAAATCTTGCAAGGGACAAAAGGAGAAATTGTGCCCTACGTAAATTCCATCAGGGCAGTAAATTGTTGTTAGGGCCTCGTTCCACATGCATCTAAAACATGGAACAATCCAAATCTTTCACAGCAAGTAGCTGCTGCCTGTTGCAATATGTGGTGATTCACCCAACTCCTGTGAGGCCCAGATAGGTAGTTGTAAGACACCATATCTTTACTTTGCATGTTTTTTTGGTTTTGCTACCACATTCATAGTATTTTGGATGTGGGCTTCTGCTGCCACAGTATTATTAAACAGCACTGGATATGCATCCAATTTAGAGAAGGGGGACAACCAGCTAGTTAAAACACTTGCAACCTGAAGTGTTCAAAACATTTTAACAAATATTTCCTTTCTAAAAATAAACAAATGTTTCCCCCCTTACCAAATGCCATTAAATGTCTTTGTTGAGGACATCTCAGCTTTGCAGTTTGGCATTAGATTGTCTGTGTTTTGTCTTATTAAAATCACAGCGGGGAAAGGAAGAATAATAGCAAGAGTAGGAAAATGCAGCCTTTGTTTTGCAGCCTTGTAGTTTAACTGTTAGAAAACACAAGCCCTGTGCAAGGTGCATGACCCAGTCAGCCACTCTTGGACTCCGGCTTTATTTGCCTTACTCTGGAGAGCATTTACTTAGGCTAGGGATGGGCAAGATCTGGCCCACCAAGCAATTCCATCCAGCCTGAGGGTACCCACCAATTAATTGTACCCCACCTAATCCATGTGCCTTGCTCCCATCCTGGTGCATGGAAAGGCCTGGCCCAGCCAGCCTGCAGCTTGCAGGAGGGGCTGCTGCTGCCACTGCTGCAGTCGCCGGGGCACCTGCTCAGCTTCCCTGGCCTTCAGCAGCTTCTCCTTGTCTCCCTATTGTAGTGCTTGCTCTGGGCAGCAGGTAGGAAAACAGTGGGAGCAGGGGGACCTGTGGTGTGGGGGTTGGCGCGCTGCAGCCATGGGTCATGGGAGCGCGGAGCCCATGTCCAGGGAGGCAGAGGGAGCACGGAGCTCGGGTAGGCAGGGTGTGGGTGAGAGGGAGGGTGGGGGGTGTAGAGGCCCCCCCACACATACACCCCCATAATGCACAGCCCCCACTGCTGAAGGCAGCAGGCTGGGGTTCTCAGGGCATTTGTATCGCAGCAGCTTGCGGCTCTAGCCAGGGATGTATATGGTGACAAGGTGCACAGCCAAGCTGACCTGCCTCTGTCACGCAGGGCTCCCTGTGGCACATGTGCTGCTTCTGGCAATGCAGACCACAGGGGACTCCACATGATGGAGTTGGCTGCCTTCCCCGCCACGTGCAGCTACCTGGACTCTGCTGGAAGTGGCCGGGAGCCCTGCCCCCTGCTTTTGTGGTAGCAGCTGGCTCCATCACACTGGGCTTCCCCTTGGTGGCATGCAACTGCCTGGAGCTGCATATGTGCCCCATGATAGAGGCAGGTCAGCCTGGATGCACTCCTTGCCACCATGTGCAGCTCTTGGCGGAGCCACACACCTTTTGGGCAGCAGTGCCTGTGTGGGCTGGAAGTACCTGGAGCACCCACCGCTTGCTGCTGCTACTACTGCTGCCACCAGTGACAGAGACTACGTGCCAAGGGGAGGAGTGTGTGGGGGGTCCCCAGAGCCCCCCTCCCTCCCTCACATCCCACAAACCGCATACACCCACACCCTGCCCCCAGACCCCACCATACACGCACACACCCCCAACCACACCCCACACACTCCCCACCACACAAAATACAAGAGAGAGACTTTATTTTTAACCTGTTATGCAGTCACCTCATCTACACTACACAAACACAAATCATGACAAAAATATTTTTTGGAATAAAATTAAAGTATGTTATAGTAGATGTTCGACTTTTACTAAATGATTTTGTTTATTTCTGGTTCAAATGGCAACCCCCCCTCCCCCTCCAAAGGATTACTTCTGGGGGCAAGGGGAGGGACTTTCCGTGGCAAATGTCAGGGGTTAGGGGTGGGACTCCTGGTCCCAAAATGGCAACTAGGGGGCATGGCACCTGTCAAGGGGTGGGGCTACCTTTGCAGTCCTCAACAGCTCACCAGAATTCATTAAGTGGCCCTCCAGCCAAAATAATTGCCTGCCCCTGGCCTAGGTGGTAGTTCACTTTGGCCAGTCTGTGGGAGGCAGATTTTAGGCTGCTTAAAAATTGCTTTTAACTGAAACATCTAGTCATAGTAAAGCACTACG